AAAAAAAAAAAAAAAAAAGAAGAAAAAAAGAAAAAGAAAGACTCACGGGCTTTCCTGCCTGGGCTGGCTTTAAGCTGCAATCTTCAAATTTCAGTCACTGGCATCCAACTCTTTTAGTGTTGAAAGATGACAGAAAACCCATGTGAGATAAAAGTTTGGAAAACAATATTGTTTCTTTTTACAATATCTAAGGAAACATCTTTGATTATTGTAAAAGTTTATTGAAAAAAAAGTTAACTATAAAAAGGTATATGACCAAATTTTATACAATAAAGAAGTCCCTTTGGAGAAGAGATGCAGATTTCTCTGATGAGCCGTCATTATTAAACTCGTTCCAAGGCTTCTAACATGATGATACTATTTCCTCGTATAACCTAGGAAAGAGAAAAATCAAATCAGAAAGAACAATTTACTTAACACATGAACAACCATTAAATAAGAGATTTTTCCCAATCATTAATGGTTTTTCAATACATGTCAGTTTTTTTAGGCCTTTTCTCAATTGATAGTCTTTTCGTGGTGACAAGAAATAATTAAGCCTATTAGGAAATACACATTAAGACTGTAGGATAATAACTTTTTAAGATGTCAAGTCATCATGACCCTTTTTTTTTTTAAAGCCCTTTCAACTCTAGGATGCAAATAATATACAACACACTCATTCCTGTTAAGTTCCAGTGTAGTAATGTTAGTTTAAGATAATTAGCGGGGGCTGGGAATGTGGCTTAGTGGTAGAGTGCTTGCCTAGCATGAATTAAACCCTAGGTTCCATTCCTCAGTATCACATAAACAGAAAAAGCCAGAAGTGTGCTGTGACTCAAGTGGCAGAGTTCTAGTCTTGAGCAACAAAAGCTCAGGAACAGTGCTCAGGCCCTGAGTCCAAGCCTCAGGACTGGCAAAAATAAATAAGTAAATAAATGAAAAAAATCAGGGAATAAACCAGAATGGAAGTTCTGACGTAAATATAGTATAATGGCCTCAGGAAACACATGCAGAACAAGGGTCAGAAAGGGAAGCAGGAAACATATTTATCTGGCATCGAATTCTAGAAGGCCTCAAATGCCATTCTTAAAATGGGAGGACATTATGAAAATAATGCCATTTAAAATTCTATATTTGGTAAAGTAGCACTATTCTAGTATTCATACAGATTGAAACTTGAAAGACTGCTTCTTGACAGGAAGAGAAGTTACACATGTGAAACTGGTCCTAAGTGAATTTTAAAAATGGTAGAAGCTGGGCGCCAGTGGCTCATGCCTGTAATCCTAGCTACTCAGGAGGCTGAGATCTGAGGATCACGGTTCAAAGCCAGCTGGGGCAGGAGAGTCCGTGAGACTCTTATCTCCAATAAACCACTAGAAAACCGGAAGTGGTGCTGTGGCTCAAGCGGTAGAGTGCTTACCTTGAGCTGAAGAGCGCCCA